TTTTGCATTATGTCTATTCATCTGCTCCTCCAGAAAGTTATTATCATATTTCTTCTCTGATATCAGCTTCATCTTCAACCTCAACTACTGGTTATCATGGGCAATGTACTTCAAGTTCTACATTTAAAACTGCAAAGCAAGCCTACATGAATTTTCAAGCGGAAGAAAAAATCACTACCAGCACAGAACAAGACACATCAGGGAAACAATCCCTCGCTGCAAGTACTGAGTTTGAGCAGAGGGAAAAGGAGGCAGTGATCCCAAATGAACTAAAGAACATACATGATTGGATGGGAGGGAGTCCTAAGGATGAGGTATTCAGAAATTCCATTTGCTCAGTTTGCAAGAATAGACAGCCAAAGATAGGATGGAAGAGAGACTTCAGCTATGCAGGGATCCATGCTGCAACAGAAGGATTTTCCCAAACGAAATTCCTATCGGAAGGTGGTTTTGGCTCTGTCTACAGAGGCGACCTGGATGGGCTGGCATTTGCCGTAAAGCGACACAATGGTGCAAGTTTCCAAGGAGAGAAGGAATTCAAGTCTGAAGTTGAAGTCCTCAGCAAAGTCTGACATGAGAATTCGGTGACAGGGATTATTTTCGGTTCGGTTTGATTTTTGTTAAAAAAAATAGTTAAATTAAAATTTAAAAAAAAACTGAAATTAGTTCAAATCGACCGGTTTTGATTCAGTTTGGTTTGGTTTTTTAAAAACAAAAACCGGTTCAAACTAGTTTGATTCAGGTTTTTTGATTTGGCTTAATTTTTTTTCCGGTTTGGATTGGTTTTCTGGTCTGGCTCGGTTTTTTCCAGTTTGGTTCGTTTTTTCTGGTTTTTCGGTTCAGTTTGGTTTTTTGAGTTTTAGACTTATAAAACCAAACTAAACCGGTCAATTTTTTCAAAATGTTAATCAGTTTTTTAGTATTTTTACTTACCGTATTTGGTGTTGTTAGGGTCATGCTCTAAAGGAAGTGACAGGTTGCTTGTTTATGAATATGTGTGCTATGGTTCACTGGACCAACATTTATATATCAAGTAAGAATGTAATGACCCCGGAGTTAATTTTTCTTATCCTTTGAAATACTATGGATACATTGGATATTCACGATAATGCAAATAATAGAGAATGAAGCCTAATACATAGTGATGTTTGCTAAATTGATGCAGAACATGCTCGCAAGCCTCTCACTTGGGAGAAGAGGATAAAGATAGCTTTGGGAGCTGCTAGAGGGCTAAAATATCTGCACGAAAACAATATTATCCACAGAGATATGAGGCCAAACAACATTCTCATAACCCATGATCACGAAGCACTGGTAATATTATAAAACCTTGCAGTTGTAAATTGATGTATTCTTACCATCCATGCAATGATCTACTGAAGTCGTTACAGAAGGGAGACCAAACCAAGCCGGCTGATAGGCCGATTGATCATTGATCTGACCATAATGCTGCCGGAGAAATTATATTAAGAAACTGTTCTCACTTTTGAAACCTGTTTCTTTTGTGCTTCTAGAACGATTAAATCATTAAGTAAATATCTGATCAGTCTAGTAGTCTTTGCTGGAAATGTTTAAGCCATTGTTTAACTTGCCATAAGAAATGGCCCAGAAATATCAGATCATATGCAAGAACTATTCAGTCTTCATAAAAAAAAAAAACTCACCATATCAGACTTCATCTAACATTTTCCTTGAATTAGCTTGGAGATTTCGGTCTTGCAAGAACTCAATATGAAGATTCAGAGCAGTCCTGGGAGACGAGTTGTTGGAACTCTTGGATGCTTGGCACTAGAATATGCAGAAAGTGGAAAGTGTCAACCAAGACCGATGTTTATTCTTTCGGGGTGGCGCTATTGCATCTGATCACAGGACTACAGATTACAGACAAGAAACTAGCAGGAAAAAGTCTTGTAGGATGGGTAAATAGCCTCGATGCTCTATCGACTGAAGGCATTGCATCCGTCTGTTATTCTTCCATCACTCACACTCACACTCACAAGCATGAAAACTGGAAACATAAGGGCCTTCTATTAGTTGCTCTTATACCTTTCAAGGCTTACTCATATCAGTTCATTTTTGCTTACAGGCAAGGCCACTACTGAAAGAAAGAAACTACCCAGATTTAATTGACGAGAGGATCTTAGAGTCCCACGATGTCCATCAACTCTTTTGGATGGTTTGAGTAGCAGAAAAATGCCTCAGCAAGGATCCTCAGAAGCAATTAACTATGAATAAGGTAACTTTTCTTACTTGGTAATCCGGAACAGCAATGTTTCACATCATGGGACAACGATCCCACAAGTTCACCGTAAGTTTAAAGACATGAAAATGTCACTAGGCAGGCATTTCAAATTCATCTTTAAGTCTCCAAGCACAGGCATTGGCAGACTTTTGTGATCAATTACGACACGGGCTTGTCCTTAAGCCATGTGGCAAAGCTTTTACATTATGCACCCGACTGGTTAGTCAAATAGGTTTTGAGATTATCACTAACAACGACCAAACCTAAGCTTAAACTATTGAATGAGGCCTTAGGAAATGGTTTTATATCATTACCCGTTGAAATTTTGTATGTTATATGCTACCTTATTTTCCATGACTGAGCCCAGCTTCATATTAGCTACTTCAGTTGGTTAAGGCTTCCATGGCTGAACAACACAATCCCCCCGCCCTCCCTCTCTCACTCTGGTGCTGGGTTTTAATGTGCTCATTTGACGTTCAACAACATGACAGGTGGTTTATGCCCTAAACTACATAATAGAAAGCAACTCAACCTGCAGTTTTGGAGAGATAATCCATGCAAAATCAGATTCACCAAGCAGTGCAGGCTACTCCTATGAATCACAAGATTATTGCGATACAAGTTCTACCGCCGAAACCTTGTCTGCTAGCTTTACTGCGGACAGCATGGGTGACATGAGTCTATGACTTCCACCATCACCCCCAATAAACTTTCACCATCATCTCCAATATTAGCCATTTCCTCAAGAAGATCAAGCACTGCGGTGGATAATGTTAAGGTCGAGGTGCCGCACTTCATAGAGAGATGGTTAGCTAGGTACATTGTCCAATGGTTTCAGCTTCTTGTGATAATCCATGCATGTTGATTATCTTGTTACATGTTATTAATCTGTAATATGACAGTAACAGTTTTTTGTTGGATTAGGTTTTTAAGTTTTAAATCTTGTAATGTGTTTTCACATGCATCTTTTAGTCCCTGCATGATTTAGTCCCTGCACGAATGGCACGCCTTTGACCAGACCAAGAAGAAAATGCTGTTGAACAGGTTGATACAGGCCATTAAAATATTATTCATTAGGTAAAACCTGATTTGGTTTAGTTCTCGGATCTACGAGTCACTAAGGTGACATGTTTAGCCGAACTGAGTTTAATAACACTAGATGAGCCCGTTGGGTTTAGAATTTACAACTCGTAGAGGATTTGATCACTCCAATTCAAGCATAAAGCAAGGATTGGAAGTCTTTATTAGAGGACCAGGCGATTGTTGGCGTTCACAAACATGCTTGGAATAACAAGAGGGATTGCCGGTGAAAGAGCAACCTATAGCTTGTGACGTGACAAAATAGAAATGGTGTGACTGAGAAGCCCAAGCAGAATGCAACTGAGACCATTTTTGCCAGTCAAGCAAATGGACGTTTACAAATTGAAAACTTCAGGCAGCATTGATCAATGGTAAACTATGCTGAAGCATTATGAGGTCCTCGCAGTATAGGAACAATATTGTTTGCTTACCGGTTTATTTAGTGGCGCTATGTCAGGGGTTGTATTGAAAAAAAATATATATATTGTGAATTATTTGTTATTGTTATTGAATTTGGCTTAACAAACAACCTTGAAGCGAACCATGAAACCTATCAATTTATTATTTTATTTAATTTGAATTTAAAATTAAATTATATAAAAATTAGAATTATTTTATCCAACTGGAATTTAAAATTAAATTATATAAAAATTATCCAACGTAACTCAATCAATTTAACAAATCTAAAAATAATTTGAGTGACCAATAAAAAATATGATTTGACTCATAAAAAATAATTTTTTTTTAATTTTGAGATTGATATATCAAGTTGAACCAGGTTTCGCAACTTAACATGTTAAACTCGTGAATTAGATCATAGACTTTACTAAGTTTAATAATTTTTTTAAAAAAATTATTTTTTATCTAGTTATAAAATAACTATATCAAATTGTTTGCAAAATTAAATACAAACTAAATATCAAGATATTTGTTTGAGATTACAATAACATTAAGAAAAATAAACAGCACCAAATTATAAAACCTAATTTAAAATTAATCAAATATTAAAGAATAAATATTTAAAAAAAAATTCCTTCTTTGATGATTATATGAAATGGAGGTAAGCCATACAGCAGCAGTTTATTTAGTCTATAGTACAACATAATATAACTTTTTTGCAATTTATTAAGTTTAGAGTTTTATTATTATTTAGTTAATTTTTTAGGAATTTGTTGTTATTATTTTTATTATTAAAGATAATATTTATTAGGATTTTTAATTTCTATATAGTTTAAGACACTAGGGTTTAATGATATCTATATAAACACCATATCTTATGTAGAATGGAGACAACTTTGATGATGAATAAGATTTGAGAGATGAGAATGCCTCTTCTGGTTATTTGAACTCTCTGCTATAGGGTTTTCTTTCAATTACTCGGGCCTCTTCTACAGGGATTCACCCTCTCCGATAAGGTTTTTTTCTCCATTCTCAATTTTCCTATTTCTATAGGGAATTCTACTTCTTTATACCTTCATATTATTCTGTCCTCCATCAATTTTATTTATTTCTCATTTGGTTAAAGGAGATAAGAATATGGAAGTTGGAAGACAAAATACTCACTTACACAAAGATGTAATAATACATGAACTGAAAATTCAGAAGGAGATTGCATACAGAGCACGCCTCTTCAATATGCAGCAGAAAATAAGTTGAATCAGAGCAAAAACCATTCAAATCAGTGGAACCAAATCAAGTCCATCAAATAACCAAAATCATTGAGATGAACGTGCATGTTATTCTACAAATTTAGCAAAAGCCATAATGCATTTGGTATACTTTGTGTAAGTTTTGATATTGGCATACATGCATTGCCTTGTTTCATGAAACCAGAAATGAAATAATCCTAACTGAAACATTAACACGAGTCTGGTTGAACTTTTCTAGGTTCAATAGGTACTCAGACCAAGTGGCTACCTAGATCGTAGAAATCATCAACATGAATGAAGCAGCAAAATCATCAAAATGGATAGCAGACTTCGAACTTCAAGGGAGTTCATACATTTGATAGACAGCAGGCATGTTGTTCCATGAACAAGAACTATGTCCCCATCCATGATTTACAGATGCTCCAGCAGCCATCTGCTTGGACTCACTACTCAAATCATCACAAAGAAGGGTTTCCACGGCATCAGTCACGATCACTTGGTCCTTTCCATAAGCAGAATCATGTTCAAGCCAACCTGAATCAAGTAAGGCATCAGGGGAAGTAATATCCAACCAGGTAGAGGATTCTTTTTCTCTATCTGCAGTCCAAGTCTGATCAACAGATTCTGATTTCACATAGCACTCTGCAGAACGTCCAAATTTACATTTAGATCCTGTAATGGAAAACCAGGAAAATTATTTGTAGAGGGTCTTGCTTTTGAAAATGAGGACAAGGAGGAGAAGATTGAAAATAACTGGAAAACAACAATGGATTTAAGAATGAGAAAGTGCAGACACATAAACATATAAACCAGTTCTGATCCCTCTCCGATGTTGTTTGGAAGTACATGAGTTTTGTATTTTGCAAAATCCAAGAGAAAGATAAATAGTTAAGATACAATTTTTTTATTTTTTTTTTTAGAACATTCAACAAGCTTGATAGTATAATACAAAAGATAACTAGAGGAACCCATGACATTGCTTCGAACAAATAGATTATGACTATCATCCTTGAGTGAAAAAGATGCTTACCAGTAAAGGTCTCGCAAGATGGTGATTCATCCAAAGAACTTTCATTGGCACTGATGGGAGTGCACTCGCTGAAAAGGGAAGTTGCAGTATGACCCAAAGGAGAAAAAGGGTGACCATAGTCTTCCCATTCCGTCTCAGAAATATTAAGGCCAGGACTGTCTGCATTATCACCGGGAGTAACAGTGGATGAATTTGAACTCTTGTCAGATAATTGATTCTTTGCACTGCTTAAAGTTTTGGCCTCATGAAGTAAAGCATCTAATAGGCCACTATTACGTGGTGATGGACACTCAGACTCAACTGTCCCAGTAGGGGGAGATTGGATAAAAGCATCAACAGACTCGATTAAAGGTGATGGGGAACAAGATGGGCCCCAGCCACCTAAATCAGATTCTGAATATTGGAGTGAAGGGAGCTCCAACTTCACAGCCTCAGAAGTGGGCTTAGAAGCAGAGAAATTGCCATTGGCAAGGGTATGGCTACCCTGATTTTCACCAAAAAACTCTGGGTTCTTGGTGGTAGAATCATAATCAAATGGAAAAGGCAATCCAAAGGATTGAGCAGCTATGTCAACCTCCTGAAACTGGTCAAACAAATGGAACTCATTTTTCATGCCACCACCAAAACTGGATAATAAGGTTGTTGCCTCTCGAAGACGCTTCTGGCGGTGCATTATTGGTGACATGATGCTTCCATATTGAAAAGAGCTCAGGCCTTTCATCAGCATGCTGCTTGCAGTAATATCAGGAAGTTCAGGAACATAAGGTATGATGCTTTGGTTGGGCGTTAAATTGTCAAAGATGACATTGGGTATCCCATAACTGTTGCTCTGCAAGGTATCATGCTGACTTTTATTCCGAATCTCGATTCTGTCAATGTTCAAGCATCGTTGACTCTCCTGCAACGCTTGCAAAGAGGCTTCAGGTGGATAAAGTGGTAAGCCAGCCCGTTGACGCCTCTTAATTCTAGTATTCCAGTAATTCTTTATCTCATTGTCTGTACGTCCAGGCAACTGAAAGGAGCAAAAGAAAGAAAAAATTAGCACAGGTTAAGATGCTACAATTTTTGTTTCAGAATACTAACTTAGGAGACCTTGAAACCAACAGCAGCCCACCATGATTTGTCATATGCAAACTAGCCAGAGATCAAAATTTTTATTAATAACATTACTGCAACAAATCTACACACAACATATTCGACCTGTAAACATGAATGGACGCTGAAAAATCCACAATAACCAATTTAGGCCCTGACTCCTCACTGCAGATCATCAGAATCTATCACCCAAATGAAGAGCTCCTTGACATTACAAGGATTTGCAGATTGATGTGCTGTCTTTTTTTAATCATTGATGAAATATAAAAACTTAATACAAGAAAAATAAAATCCTCAGATGCAGTAGACCATAAAGAAGACAAAAGAGTAATCATATCCCACAATAATGGCCACAAAAGACAGATCCTTGAGAATTCTCATCTTTGCAATTTAAAGGCCTACACTTTGTGAAGAAAAAGATTAAACTATCTGAAAGATATGAGATTGTCAAATGTAACTACAAACCTAGAGCGTGTAACATTGTTTCAATTATGGTCCATGCTGCTTTTAGCTCATATTTTCCTGCTAATATTCATATGAAAGCAAAATACAAAGAAAAGAGGGTCACAGTGCAGCACGGATACCCAACAGCAATAATTATAAACTTACATGTGCAGCCATTAGTGCCCATTTGTTTCCCATCTTTGCATGAAGTTCAATGATTAGCTGTTCTTCTTCTTGGGTAAATGCTCCTTTCTTTAGATTAGGCCTTAGGTGATTGGCCCATCGCAATCTGCAGCTTTTGCCACAACGGAAAAGCCCTGAGTGCTTCTGAACAGCATTCCAGTTCCCCTCCCCATGCTTCTTCACATATTCTATCAAAATTGCATCTTCAGCAGAAGTCCATGGCCCTTTCTTAAGAACAACTCCTCCATTTGCACTTCCACAATAATTGCCTTCCTCGCCCAATGGCAACTCAATCTGATTATTGGAGACAATGCCATTCTCACTCTCACTTGTCATACGACTCATCTCCTTCTAATCACGCAGACAATCCCTATCAAACAGCTCAGAAACATTCAATCAGCAGGATGAGAACCTGAACCAAAAAGAAGATGTAGAAACAAAATTAATACAAGTAAATGAAAAGGGCAGTGCCTTTTGTTCTCTGATTTTTTGTGCTTGAACTCCGCCTCCCAAAAATTCATTATTTTTTCCATACAAAAACAATTATCACTACAAAAGACTAGTGGGGTGAAAATAGTATGCTTCACATTAATAAAATCTAAATCCAGTAAACGCATGTGGTGGAAAAAAATTATTTAAGCTATTGTAGAAGCAAAACAAATTGGGACAATGCAGAGAAAGGTCAGACGGTAACACTAAGCACTCGTGCACAGAACAAAAAAGCTTAGCAAACATGTGAGTGTCTAGTCATGATGAACTTTTGAAAAAAAAAAACATAGAAACCAAAAAGAAAAGGGGGGGCACTCAAAATCTTCCCTCTATTTAATTACATGTTTTAACAAAATCTGGAAGCCAACAAACGAAAAATGGCTAGCCCCACACTTGAATTACATACTACAACCAAACCCATTTATAAAATCATGAAAAAGTAAACATACTTACTGCATACAGTTCATTTCTGTTCACCAGCTATAAAAGTCCATAAAAGGAAACCCTATTGTCATTTATTGCAATAATACTCAACATCAATTTCTACAAAAATAAAATTAGCTAAAAATTGAATCACGCCATGCTACATTTAACAGAATATACTACTCTCCCATACTATCAATAGAAACAATAAAAATTGGAACTTTTTCCTTGATCAACAAATCCTGCAAAAAAAGAAAGGAAACAAAAGCATCTAACTAGAGAATTAAATACCTGAATCGGACCAAGATGCCGAGCACAAAGCTTTGAGCCTTGAGTCACCAAAATTGGAGCTTTGAAAGAGCTCAGAGATTATTCCTGAAAGTAAAAGCTGATGATAGAGGAAAAAATTGAATACCTGAAAAACATAACAAGGAAAGAACCAAACTTTAACGCATTAATCAATACCCGAATACCGATATACACTGTAACTAGAATCAGCTCAAATTGCTAAATTCAAACAACAAAACCCAAATTGGCAACACCAAAACCCTATTTTTCCCAAATAAAAAATTGAAAGGAAAGAACTAAAAACAGTGATATTTAAGCTCAAATTTTGATATATATTTTCTTTTTTTTCAAAACAAAGGAGACTAAGCTCGATAAAAAAAATCTAAAAGAAATAAAAGAAACGATCTTGACCTTGATTCGTGCAGGGGACAACTAAGATCTGTACATAAAAAGAGCAAAACATTGAGAGGCGCAGATTGGAAACACTCACACAAAGAAATACCAAAGAAAACGAGGGTGCAAAATGGGAAATTTTGAGAGAGAGAGGTAAAATTTGAGATTCTTAGAGAGTGAAATTGAGCTGAGAAATCGGTGGCCAAAGGAGAGGCAAACTAGGGGAGAGAGTGATGGATAAAGCTCCACCTAGAATTAATTATTAAATGATTTAAAGCATTAATTATCACCACTACTTGTTTAATTAAAAAAAAAAAAGAAGAAGTAGATAACATTTAGTAGAAACTTAAATTTATGTATTTGTTTTGCTAATTACAAATATATATAGCTGTGTACATGGAAAATTGTTAGATCAATATCTTCTTTAATTAAAACTCAATCTATGTTAGATTTTAAATAACTAGCAGTTTAATTTGTTTTTTAATATATTTTTAAAATTATTTTTCACATGAAAACATGTTTTTAGGTTTTTTTCAATGTTAATATAATGATATCAAGAAAAGAAATTCATTTTGACTATTTTCTTGAAATTTGAAATCAAAATTCAAAGTTTTGTATTTAAATTTTAAAATTGGAAATGAGATTGGTGAAATCATCAAATATGTATTAAAAAAAATTAATTTAATTAGGTTTCTTTATCACATTGTATTGTATTTGATTAACTTTTTGAGATAGAGAAAACTAATATGAAAAGCAGAAATATACTTGACTACGAAAGCAAACAAATATCTCCAAAATAATTTTAAAATGGTTTTTTATTATTTTAAAACAAGAAATATGTGAATAATATATGCCTCTATTTATTTTGTCACGGCACAATGTTTTCTCTCTAGTTTACTTCCAGCTAATATTATTTTATGAGGAAAAAAAAGTAACCATTTATTTTATTCTATCTTTTCTACGTGACTATATATATATATATATATATATGTAT